TTGATGGAAAGAAATTTCGTGGAGGTTAAATTGATAGACGGTAATTTGATTGAAGGAATTTTTGATCTAATCTTTTTTTTTTTTTTTTTCAGCTTTTACTTGAAAACGTTGCTTAAATTTATTTTTGAACGCACTATTTTGTTTTACTATAGAGATAGTATACTGCGTTCAAAGAGAAATTAGGGAAAATTAAATGCGCTTACTAAAAAAAAAAGTTTCGACCAAATTTCCGTTCGATCAAATTTCTGTAAATCAATTTACCGCCGACGAAATTACTTTCGATCAAATTTCCAGTAACCGCCAAATCCATAAACAAAAAAATAACAACAAACACTTGCAAACAGAAATACTAACGAAAAACGAGATAATCTTTAGAACAGGAATTACACACTGCACACTTCAGTTGGCAAAGCTGTCACGTGTCAGAAAAAATGGTGAATAAAGGTCATTGCAAATGACATAGTTACGGAAGTTCTCAGGTACTGTCAAGTCAAAATAGCTGCACACAATGTTCAAGTCAATAGTTAAAAAATAATTACAAAACATCCTTCTGTATTATACCATTAGGCTTATAGCTGATCTATAGACGCTAGAAATGATGTTACCATTAGAGTTGCATGACCCTACAACTACACAACTACAGTTATGAAGCAACAGCGAAAATAATTGTTTGGAAGGGGGGTCACCACGCCATGACGAACTGTCCTAAATGGTCGCGGCATTAGGAAGTTTGAGAACCACTGCACTGGATAAGCCAAATGGCAGATTTTCTCCTGTACACGTCATTGCACTTTCTTGCTCTTGTCACCATATTAGACAAACGGCTTCATATAATAGTATACACATTCGTACGACTAGGGCGTCACTTAATTGTGTACACATTCGTGCAGGTACGGTTTTGCATAAACATGTAAACTTCGCACAACTACGGTTCACACATAGGTGTATACATTCGTACAGCAACAGCTTCACATAACTGTGTACGCATTCGTAAATCCACATCTTTTACATAAACGTGTACACATTCATACAACTACGGTTTTACACAACTGTGTACACATTCATACAACTACGACTTTACATAACTGTGTACACATTCATACAACTACGACATTACATAACTGTGTACACATTCATACAACAACGGCTTTACATAACTGTGTACACATTCATACAACTACTGCTTTACATAACTGTGTACACATTCATGCAACTGATTTTTTTTTAAAGGAATGAATTAGCACCTGTCACTTGAACATTTAGTATTTGACCTGTAATGAAGCCTATTTGAACCACGTGACCAGCTCATGTGCGTCATCAGTCGCGTCACGCTTGACAGAACGCTTTCTATTAGGCCGTTCAACTGATTGGGATTCCCCCTCCTCCCCCCCCCCCTACCTCGTCCTGACACTGTGAGCCGAAGCCCCCAACCCCATCTTCAGCCACACACAGCCCTAAAGCCCCCAACCCCATCTCCAGCCACACACAGCCCTTCTAGAGCCCCCCCCCCCCGCCTAGCGCCCCCACCCCCGCGCCTAGAGCCCCCCCCCCATTAAAGCCCCACCCCCCATAAGTACCCCACCAGAAAGTTTGTTCCCACCGGTCTGGACTAGGTCAGAAGATGGGATCAGGGGGGTCATTCCCGACGGTCCCCCCTCCTCCCCCCTCCTCTCCCCTGAAAACGTTTCAAAGTTTTAGAGCAGTGCAGATATTTCCGCTAGGTTACACGGATTTTTTGTTTCTTATCCAAGTGCTTCGTTCATAGCTGGTTTACAACTTTACAAACATTAAAGAAAAACAAAAAAATATAAGATTAAGGCCTGTTAGTGCAAGTATTTTTTATTAAATATAATTTCAATTTTTTGTTTTCCTTTCTAAACTTCACTTCACTATATACATATAAATTATTATTTAAAAATATTTTTTTTTTCTTGTGATCATTTACCAATACTTGGGAGATAAATTGCGAATTATTAGTTTGATTTGAGTATATTCCCGAAAAAGAAATATCTTGTGGCAGTTTACATGTTATATATTTTTGATAATTTAAAGATGATCTTTTCAAACCTGGGAGTGTGATTGTAACTATTATGCCGTAAAGGATTGCAGATTTATTTATTTTAAATATAAAATAATAGTTATTTTTTTTTTATATATTTTAAAATATATATATATATATATATATATATATATATATATATATATATATATCTCATGCCGTGGATTCGATTGGTTTTAATTAGCTGTTGCAATCCGTTCCATTACTTCTGTGACGAACCTTTTTGAAGGAAAAAAAACCAAATAATTGAAATACAAGTTAAATTAAAATTAATAAAAACTCAATAATGTGCACATTAAAATAGGTTGTGTGTGTGTGTGTGTGTGATTGTGTGTGTGATTGTGTTGTTAGGGTCGGTGTAGGTTTTGGGGTGAAGCGGCAGGGCGCATCGCTGTACGTTATTTACTTTGAAGTGTCCTGCTTCCAAGCATGCCATGCTTTACGTTGCAGCCTTGCCCTTCCTCTAGGATAGAAACACAATATATTTCATCAATTAAAAATTATGAAATGAATCAATATTTAGGAGAAAAAAAAGAGGGACATATTTATAGTTTCTTTGTTCATACTCAAAGCAACATTTAAAAAAAAATAATAATTTGAAAAAAAAAAGACAAATTGTTAAGAGACGAACTCGCTATGCCATCAATAAAAATAAAAGATTACAAAAAGATATGTTGGTTTTGAATGAATAAAGTTGTTATGTTTATTTGATTTTTTTTTATCATTTCACTCATTAGAAGACGCAACTGTCTCTTTTATAGCATTCGCCCCAATCTAAAAATGGGTTCATGTCTCGGGGGAAGCCTCTTGAGACTCGTTGGTATCGGAAACCTGATCATCTTTAATTTAGTTGCCGCTGTTCCACGAAACTCGACCTTGCTGTCGTGCACCCGAGGAGTGGACAAGACCGACTTTTTGATCCAGTGCACCGGCTCTACCCCCTACATCAATATCAGAAACATCTTCTATGGAGCCTTACACATAACAAGGTAACATTTTTTTTTCTCGACAATACAAATTATTAATGCTACTTTACAAAATAGATATTTTAAAATATATATATTTTTTAAAATGTATTTTGTATTAATATTACAATTTTTTTTTCCTCGGAATTCACAAAGGTCGTGAAATGAAATGGTTGTGTCTAAGACTACAGGTTACCTAAACAAAATTCACCAACCTCTGAGTAGGTTGAATCTTTCATGAGTTCCATTGATGCACTGTAAATATCTATGACCAACAGATTGGGGCTATAAGGCTTGGTTATAACAAGGTTTATAAAATATTTAGTTCGTAAGAAGAAATGTCAAATCGGCTGAATTTTTTCAGTTTTATTATTTCAATTTTTTATCATTATTAATTATTTTTTTTTTTTTTTTTGGTGAATGCTCTTTTTTTTAAGCACTCATATATTTAGAATTAAACAAAAACACAGGAAATGTACAGACAAATTAGAAAGATCATTTAGGATCTTTGAAAAGCTGACACCAAGCTCTTTCTATTGTTTAACGATTGTGTGCTTATTCAGTGTATTTAAACATTTGAGCCTGGCAAACCTATCTAATCTCTCCAATCTACTTTTAACAAATGCAGGTCCTCTCTATCGGTACAAAATATAGAAAGGAACAAAAATTGTGAAAATAGAATAAAAGTCATTTCAAAAATTGTGCTCGGTGCTTGCTGGAAAGCACCGCGGATATCAATCAAGCACCGTTGATGGTGTTATCAATCAATCAATCAATCAATAAATCACACGGTCTAAGACTATTTTCAACAAAATATGAACGTGATTAAAAATGCAATTTAAAGAAAAAAAGGACTTTTTAAATTTATAATGTTAGTACAAGTACCTTCGCAGATCAAACAATGTATTTTATTTGCGCAAAAACAGAGCGTTGGATATTGCAAGCTTTCCATATTTAAGTCTAATAGCATTTCTTGTTCTTTTGAATCCAAAGGTTAGGGACTTTGTGTTCCTTAGAGCAAGTCCCATTGATAAGATCATGCATCATTTATCAGATTATCTAGGCCAGATTTGTATTTGCTTCTGTCAGATTTTTAAGTTTGCCAGTAAGGCAAACTAGCGATCATATTTGGCGAACTTTGACATGCTCTTTTTGATGACCCAACACTCTCCATATGTGACATGAGTACACGCGCAGACACTCTGAATCCCTAGCATGTCGATTTGGAAAAAAAATAAAGAAATAAATCGTACCAAAAAATGCCATGAAAAGGTAAACCGCGGTGGTAGTTGATGACAAAATAAATCATGTTCACGTGTAGAGTTCTAATCAACAAACATTCTAATCAACAAACATTCAAATCAACAAACATTCTAATCAACAAACATTCTAATCAACAAACATTCAAATCAACAAACATTCTAATCAACAAACATTCTAATCAACAAAAATTCTAATCAACAAACATTCTAATCAACAAATGTACAATACTTAAGGGTGTGTTCTCCTTTGATGTCTCTCTCTCTGGCATTCTTGTGTTTCGAGAAATGTAAATAAGTCGCACTATGTAAATGTGTCGTGCGGTGTAAATGTGTCGCACCATGTAAATGTGTCATGCGATGTAAACGTGTCGCACGATGTAAATGTGTTGTGCGGTGTAAATGTGTCGCACGATGTAAATGTGTCGTGCGGTGTAAATGTTTCGCACGATGTAAATGTGTCGCGCGATGTAAATGTGTCAAACGATGTAAATGTGTCGCATGGTGTATATGTGTCGAACGATGTAAATGTGTCGCGCGACGATGTAAATGTGTCGCACGATGTAAATGTGTCGCGCGGTGTAAATGTATTGCACGATGTAAATGTGTCTCGCGATGTAAATGTGTCAAACGATGTTAATTTTTCGCGCTGTGTAAATGTGTCAAACGATGTAAATATGTCGCGCGATGTTAATAAATCGCACGATGTAAATGTGTCGCACGATGTAAATGTGTCACGTGGTGTAAATGTATCGCACGATGTAAATGTGTCACGTGGTGTAAATGTATCGCACGATGTAAATGTGTCACGCGGTGTAAATGTGTCACGCGATGTAAATGTGTCGCGCGATGTAAATGTGTCGCACGGACGGGGAAAAAATGCGATTTCATGAGTAAAGCAAATTTTTTTAAGACTTAAAAAAAAACAGAAAACCTAGCTGGAAATGAATTAAGATACGTTATGGACCACATGGTTCAAATGTTGTACTAAATTGAAATCAAAACTTTACTACCAAGATTGTGTGACGAGATGGGGGTCAAAATCTAAAAAAAAAAAAAAAAAAAAAATATTGATAGTACACTGAAAAAATGTTTGGCTCTGAATAGGTCACGTGACTGTTCAGGAACTAAAAGAAATGATGTCTCATTTTGTGAAAGAGAACGAATCAAACTGAATTTTAGGATCTGTTGAAAACGTACTTGTTTGTAAAAAGTTGAAACAACGGTGTAAGTAAAGTTAGATTCTTACTGCAAAGAAAGAATCTGGACATTTTGCGAAAAATGTCGCCCATTCCGATAAACAAAAAACAAAAAAAAGGTATTTTTCCACCCCCAGCCGGAGTTCCCCTCCCCCTCCCAATCTTTTCGGAGATCCTCCTTCCGACCCTTCCTTATCTAATGATCGACAAATCTTGAGCATTCTGGGATATTTGAACATTTAAAACAAATTAAAACTGAAATGCAAAAAAAAATATTTTTTTTAAAATGATAAAATGAAAGAGATAGATCGAATGCGCCCGATGGAAAGCATGATATTGATCTGGAAATGAAAATGAAAGTAGCAAATTTGAAAATGTAATCCGTGACAGCCCAGTTAGAGCTAAAATTTGTTATGAGCGTCATAATTTTGGAACATTTGACAGTTTGGAATATTTGACAAATAGGAATATTTGGCAGTTTGGAATATTTGACAAATAGGAACATTTGACATTTTGGACCATTTGACATTGCTTCTAACATAAAGGCAAAGTTCACCGTAATTCTCCCACGCTAACATCCAAGACTGTGATAAGTTCAGATGTCGAATTCTGTCAACCAACAAATGAACTTTTCACATAGTGAACTGAACAAACAAATGATCAGAATCTGTTAACTGATCAATGAAAGGGGGTTGATTTGTTGTAAAAGTTCATTTATAATGTTCATTTAACTGTAATGCGTCTATTATAATAAAGAACTTTTATGATCCTCCTCCACTACCACTCTGTACTTTTTGCCCACCCGTCTGCATGTCTGTATATATGTCTGTCTATCTGTCTGTCTGTCAGCATTTGAATACATATTATATAAACCATCCATCAATATTGCAACACTTGTAATTTATTCTTCTAAATTTAATAACGATACATTTTTAATAACGAAACAATTCGAAATTTCAAATTTGTCTTCTTTTTTTTTTTTCAGCCCTTGCAACGGAGAAGCGTCCTATGACTCCTGCTGCGGCAGGGGCGTCGCTATACCAGAATGCGTCTTTCATTCCAACACGGACCTCAGTACGATTTCCGACCGGTGCGTCGTCAACCAATGCGAGGTGGGGCCCGGCTCCAGCATACGAACCTACGGACGCTGTGACCCGGAGAACTACCCGCAGCTGACGTCATTCATGTTCGTGGAATACGAATGCACCGCCGCACGGCAAACCACACCGCGCGCCCCTGCAACGGCGCGATGGGACACCCCGACCCCGTGGGTCCTCCCGACAACGACGGAGTACCGCACGAAGCTGACCCCGGGAGGCCAGGCCGGAGTCATCGTCTTCATCATGCTGGTCATCATCGGGATAGCTGCTGGCATCACCGTCTACAAGCGGTGGAAGTACGGCGCCCCCGAGGACAAGTGGAAGTTCTTCAGCAACCCCCCACACCTGTCGGCGTCCCAGCAGGACATTCCCAAAGTGATCCCCTGGGTGTCGGGAGAGGCCAGGGAGCAGATTTACAAAACTTATAATGATTTCATTAACCACAACGACCGGAAACAGATCAAGCGGCAAATGATCAATGCTAATTCTTTTGAGACTTTTATAGTTTAATCGAGCATTAGATATTCGATGGTTAACACTAAAGCATTGTATAGCCCCTAGATCTTAGAAAAAAAAGGATTACTAGAACCTAGATCCTAAACAGTATCACTTCACTTTAGATGTTAGAAAAAGTATCACTAGAACCTAGATGTTAGAAAAAGTGTAATTAAAACCTAGATGTTAGAAAAAGAAAAAGTATCATTACAACCTAGATCTTAGAAGAAGTATCACTACACCTTAGAACGATGTATCACTACAAACTAGATGTATCACTACAATCTAGATCCTAGAAAGGGTATCACTGCAACCCAGATCTTCGGAAAAGCAGTGCTTTATTAAAAGTCTGTAAAATCTCCTTGTAGTTCAGATCTATGGTAAGCCCATGCGCTGATGTCAAACCAAAAAAAAAAAAAAGCTACCAAGTTTAACCGATGTTGCATGCAGAAGCGTAGCGTGGTGGGGGCAGGGGGGCAGATGTCCCCGGGCGCCAGCTAGTTAGGGGCGCCAAAATGTGCTTTGATATTATTTTATTGATGAAAATAATGGGTTTGAGAGTTGAAAAAAACGAAAAAGGGGCGCTAAAAATGGATCTTGTCCCTGGGCGCGAATCTTGTCCCCGGGCGCCAAACACCCTCGCTACGCCACTGGTTGTGTGTATTAACAAAACTCAACTATATACTGGGATCAACTACAACCTGATGAACTTGCGATGTACTAATAGAGTGTGTGGTCTTATTTTTGTAAATATGTACACATTTTAAAAACTTGAATTGATGACAATATATTTCTTTCTTTTCTTTTTTTTTTTTTTTGTGTACATTAAGTATAATTTGCAAAAGCGATTAGGTGGTATGTTGTAAGTTTGTAAATGATCTATGTAAATGGTGTATGTGCGTAAATGATATACACAAAAATATATATTTTTTTTTTTTTTTTTTTTTTATTTTTGTGTACATTAAGTATAATTTGCAAAAGCGATTAGGTGGTATGTTGTAAGTTTGTAAATGATCTATGTAAATGGTGTATGTGCGTAAATGATATACACAAAAATGAATGATTTTCGGAAAAAAAAATGCGTTGAGATCAGACAAGATAAGATATTCTTTATTGATCTAAATAAATTGAAATATTTGTTGATTATATTGTAAATATTCATTTTCAGCACACATAAAAATGCATAACTTTGACCAAGACAACATTTTACAATTATAACGATTGAAGCAAAAGACAACAACAAAAATTAAATAAAGTAATGGGAGTTATAATTAAAACCAGTTTTCATTTTTACACCATCAATTTAAAAAAAAAATAAATAAAAAATAAAATATCTTTGATATCAAACGATTTCTCTTTTTTTCTTTCTTTACGTCATTAATTTTCTTTTTAGCTTTCTTTCTTGCAGGGACGTAGCTAGGTTAGAGGGTAGATACTTTTGCCGCCCCCATTTCACGGAAAAAACCACACAAAAAAAAACAAAAAAAAACCACTCAGCAGTTGGTCGAAAAGCTCACTCGTACATATTTCTTTTTAATGCT